ATCTTAGAAATCATGAAATCTTAGAATTTAGAAGGATTTTATACAATGTCTTCTATTCCAACCTCATAACTGTTCAATATAAAGTAGGGAATAAAAGATTTCCAATGACAGAAAAGATTATAACTTCAAGCATTAAAAAAAAAAAAAAAAAAAACCACGTTATTTTAATTCTATCTCCAAATATTCACTAATTCTTTGATCACATTTTGAAGTAAACTTTTTGTCCCATTTATTGTTTATAATATGGAGCCTTGGTGGTACAGTGGCTAAGCATTTGGCTGCTAACTGAAAGGTTGGTTGTTGGAACTCACCAGGCGCTTCAGGAGAAAAAGATGTGCCACCTGCTTCCATAAAGCTTATCATCTTGGAAACCATGTGGGGCAGATCTACTCTTTTCCACAGAGCTGCTATGAGTCAGAACTGACACAATGACAATGGGTTTCATTTGTGTCAGGGTTAATAATAAAACACCGCTATTTTCCCAATGTATCAAGCAGATGGTGAACACCTACTATTTTGTAGGCCACTATACCAAGCTAAATTATAGACCCAGCAATGCTAATCTGCAATTATTTACAATTGTTGAGTACTTTTTCAATTTCCCCTCTTATTATTTAAAAATATCTTCTAACAATTCATAAAATAGGCATTAAGCAAAATTTAGTCTTGGGAAATATATCCATCAAAATTAAGCAAATGACTCAGTTTAAAATGAAGATTTAAACTATTTGCCTCATATACTATACTACATAATCTAACAATCTTTAACTTTAGAGTTCAAGACATGTTGCTAATAACAGCAATTATTAAAGGAGAATTAATAATTATTATTTAACAATATGCAATATTATTAAATTAGAAAATATACTAATTCATCATGTGGTTTTCTAAAATATGGTTATAAAAATAATTGCAAACATCAATTTTGATCTGTTTTTTAACCCAAGTGTTGCTAAATAAATAAAGAAGGAAGCACTGCTTTTGAAGTCCTTTCAACCAAGAGATGGACTGGACATCATGGTTACAGCTTACTAATGTAAAGAGCTGAGCTGGGAAAGCATTGCTTTGGTTTGTTAATTTGTTTTTTCAGCAAAGCCTCACCTGCTGATTGTTGTTGTTAGGGGCGTTTGAGTCTGAGTCATAGCAAGTCTATGTACAACAATGAAAATACAGTCCGCTGATTGGAGACTCCAATAAAAACCGGAAAGCTAGACAGTTAACCTCACTGGTCTCAGCAATTAACCATGCTGATTCCTTTATTATTAATTGTTCGCTAAACATCGACTTCAAAACATTAACTGTGCAGTTTTGGACCTTTCCTCAGTATATGGAGACAATTTTTTTGTTTTGTTTTATTTTTCATTTTACCTTGCTAGAAATTAAAACATTGTACTTTGAGAATTACGGAATACTAATTACGCAGATCACAATGTAGAACTACAGCCTGTTCTTCAATAGAACTTAATAATAATTCTATTTATCACAATGTGCAAAAATAATATATGTTTTCAAAAGTATTTAAAGGATTCTAAACATCAAATGCTCTAACAATTTCTACTTTAGAATAAATTATAATACTAATTTACAAAATATTAAGAAAGAACTAATTCTGCAATGTTTAATGTTACCTTTTATATTTACTTGGCTAAAAATGAATACTTGTTTACTACATATGATCAGGATCACACATATGAAAATGAATGTGTTCTTGGACACATTTAAATTGTTTTGTAATACACTCAAGTTGTTGGTAAGAGTATATAACAATCTACTTATAGTTTTGATTTTACAGGTTGATTTTGGTGACTTTTCCTAAATAAAATGAAATCAAGATTTCTTAGTACAGACACAAGAGGGCAGACCTACACAAAACAATGAATTTGTTACTAACTAGAGATTATTTACCCTTGATTATTTCATTTTCTAGCCAAATGAGAGAATGGTAAATATTTAAAAAAAAAAAAAAAAAAAAATCTGTTCTTCTACTAAGTAACAGCACACTTTTAAATGTCTATAAATTACATGCCAGACAATAAGTAGAAAAAGCTATAAAGATGAAAAAAAATCACTTTCTTACTAGTTTCATTTATTAAAACATGCAAACACAAGTCAATTATACAAGCATAAAATTTTCAGCTAACTATTGAACGTGTTGGATTAATGGTGTGATACTGTGTTAATGCGCTAGACTACAAAGTCGGCAGTTCAAGCTAACCAGCCACTCCTCAGAAGCCCTATACAGGATCAGTGGTGGAGGATGCACACAGAAACTATAAACTTTACTAACTGAGGCCTAGATGGCTTCTCTTCACAAAGGAAAATGCTTCAGGATACTATACTATTTACACACCAGCTAATTTAGCAAGAAACCATGCAAATCAAAGAACTCTTTGAGGCTGGCTCAATGATAATTCTGGACTGAGTCCTCAAAGAAGCAAAACTTCCAAGTTACAGTTAAAAACCTCTTGAATGATAAAAGAAGGGTGCTGTGAGGATTAAATGGGATGCAACACTGTAAAAGCTAGGCCCACTTCCATGAGTCAATTCCAACTCAAAGCAACTCAAGAGCTACAAAGTTCTATAGAAATCTAGAGAGTTACTAGACATACAGAAACTTTCAGCCAAATTCCTTTCTTGGTTGCAAAAAAGTTGCTTTTTGCGGTGAGAGAGTAGCAGTTGTGTTTGAAAACCACATACATCCTCATAACCTATTAGATGGACTGATCCTTAGGACTATTCCCTTCATGTAAAAATTAGACAGAAAAAAAGGAAGTGAATGTTTTAAATAAACAGCTATAATAAGAGCTTTTAAAGCAAAGACAGTACTTATAGCAGAGGTGGGGAACCTTTTTTCTGTCAAAATTCATAACACAATTAGTGCGCCATGCAAAATTTCCAACTTAAAAATTAACCTGCTATATTTGCTCAAACATTTAATTAACTCACCACTAAGGCACAGAACGGAGTCCTGGTGTGGCGCTGTGGGTTAATGTGTCAGACTGCAAAGCCATTTGAACTGCAAGGTCGGTGGTTCAAACTCACCAGCTGCTTCTTGGAAACCCTATACAGGGTCACTATGGGTCGGAACCAACTTGATGGCACTTAACAACAAGACACTTAATGGAGTCCTGGTGTGGCACTGTAGGCTAATTCTCTGGACTGCAAAGTCGTTTTAAACCACACAGTTAGGGGTTCAAGCTCACCAGCCGCTCCTCGGAAACCCTATATAGGGTCGCTATGGGTCAGAGTTGACTCAACGGCACTTAACAACAACAACAAATGTGATGGCTGGAACTGTGGTTGCCCTGGCAGGGCCAGATCAAATGATTTCTTGGTTTTCTTTCATTGGTTCCATCCTTCTACTCAAAAGCTAAGAACTCTATAAAGAGACAAGCTAATCAAGAAGTAAAGCTTTCTGTGTACACGGAAGTAAAGCTTTCTGTGTACATGCAAACGGTGCTCCTTAGCAGCAGCCTGCTCCCTCTACATGCACTGGGAAAACAACTTCAAAAATGAATTTATCCAGAATACACCCTCACCCTCCCTACCTACCTACCCTATTCTCTGACATTGCTTTAAGGTTGGGGGAAACCTTGTTTATAGCAGGCAGATTGAGACAAGAACTTACTCCTTTAAATGTGCCCAGCATTCTGAGTCACCCCTCTCTCTATCATCCCTACACTTCAGGATACAGTAGAATACTAAGACACTTAGACTGCTTTGTGTCTGTCTAAAGACACCAGCTTGTAAAACAAAACAAAACTGCCTGATTCCCTCCCTGTCCTATAATCACAGGCATTTAATAATGAAAACGATGCTTAAATTACATAAAATCATAAGATCAAATTCACTAGCAGTCCAAATCTATACAATCCTCTGGAGAAAGATGAAGCTCTCTGCTCCCATGAAGACTTACAGGGTACCTGTGAGTCTGAACCGATTCCATGGGCACAGCAGCAACAGTATTTGAAAAATTGTATCCTTTTTCCAATCACTTGAATTGGTAACTCACAAATAGATTTTATTAAATTGTTTGCTTCTGATTTGCAAGTCAGGCATCTTAATGATGCTTCTGTTTTTATAGACATACTAAAGATTTCAAGAACTGGGTCCCATGGGATGTGTTAAAGGTTTTTTTATGAATGTACCACTTTAGGTCATATGTATGTTTGGGAGCTGTACTCAGATTTATGAAATTCCTACGGAAGTTATCTCATTTTTTCATAGACTATAATCCTTAAATATCCTTTATTATTATTTTGAATTTATGAATACTGACTTTTAGATGTTTAGGAAATTTTTGTAATTTGTGATAGGAATAATTTTCTTCAGAAAATTCTATTACTAATAAAAATTTGGTGGCATTTATTTAAAATTCTATAGCTACTTGGGTCTCCAGTTAACATAAATTACAGGAAATTACCTTGAAAAAGAAACATTTCCAAATCAAGAACTGTATATCTTTATAAGTTAGTCCCTAGACCCATCAAAAGCTATAAGCCTTAAATGATAATCTAAAATATCTTGTCTCAATTTAATTTTTTAAAAATAAAACATACCCATTCCATTCTGATTGATACATAGAAGCCAATTACAAAAATTTATAAATGACTTTAGTTTCACCTTCTCATTTTTCAGATGAACAAACTATGGCCAAACCATAAATATTATCTAAGACCTTATACACCACCAAGCTAATATCACTGTATTATTCCATGACCATTTCTTTGTTTCTGTTTTCAGTTTCTTTAGATTGGATGGCTTTGTTTATTTTTACAACCATTTAACAAATGAGGGGGAAAAAAGTAAAGACAAGAGGTTAGGTTCATGTTAATCAGTCTCAAATGCTTTTAAGTTTTATTAACTCAATACTTTTCAAGTCTACATACATCTGTGCTTATTAACTTGAAGGGGTAAGCAAAATCAAAATACATTTTTATAGGTTGTTGTATTCATAACATCCACTAGAGGGAAGCAAACACTAGATTTTGGAGCCTTACCTGCATTGGTGTCTCACTTCCTTGTCTGAACTCTTCAATTTGCTGTTGTTGCCAAGGAGATAAACTGTAAGAGTCCTCAGTAGCTCTACATTCCAAAGGATTTGTCCGCAACTGCTCTGTAAGCCACATTTGAGTCCTCACAGAAGGCTGAATGGGAACCCCACCTACTGCCTGTTGACCAAGTATTAAATATTTAGGAGGTTCGAATGACTCTGAGTTTGTCATAATGGGCTTGCTTTCAGGTAAGGCACTATATGTCATATCTAAGGCCTGTCTCCTAAGAGTGGAGGGAAAAGCTCTAAAGTCCTCTTTGCTACAACTATCAAATTTATATTTACAGTCCAGAGTTGAGGACCGTTTTTTATTTATTTCCTTGTCCTCCAGTTTAAGCATCTCCATACTGTCATGTAAGCAGCTAGGTCCGATTGTCCTTAGTTGTGATGGTAAAACCTTGCTCCTCCCTGTCTTTTCCAAGCCATTACGGGGCACTTCAGTGTGTGCAGTGCCACCTTGGCTGCAGTTATCAGGAGTAGTGAGCTTAGACAAAGAAGACCATTTCCGGAGGGGCCGGAAGTCCTTCATGTCTAGCGAGGAGTCCTGCTCATCCTTACTGCGATTTCCCATGGTTTGCATGAGGCTTGAGTTCCATTTTGAGGCATCTGATGTCAATGATTCCCTGTGTCGGGGAACTGAAGAGCTGGAGTTAGACGGCATCACGTGGGCAGTAGGAAGGGTAACCAATGATCGACTAGGCTTAAATGATAATGTGCCACTTGAAGTTGAATGATCTGGAAAGAGAAAAACAGATTTCCAAATCAGTTCCAATTTACAGGAAAGGAAGAAATGGGACCAAAGGCCATTTCTAGTATGGTTTTCCTGCACAAGTTGTTCAGAACTTTCTCAAAAAGAGAGATTTAAGACAGGAATGGACTGATAAAAGAGGAAATATGCACAAGAATACCCACACTTGCAGATAATACCCACTTGACCTGGCTTCAATGACTGGATGATCAGAGCTCAACCAGAAGAAGAAAAAAGAGAAAAAAAAAAAAAGTAATCTGATACAATTTGATGAACTTGACCTATACCTATGGATGCAGTAGCTCATAAGAGGGAACAAATCTTTTGCAAGGATCATTCCCAACCCCTCCATACAGAGTAGACTGTTCTGGACAACTTGGACATTGGCTACCCAAAGCGCAGGGGCTACAAAGGCAAGAAGTGACTGGCTTATAAACTTTCAAGAGGGAGCATAGATCCAGAGGATACAGAGAAAGGTGGACTCTCCACTGAGTAGTATCCAATCTCTCTGGGCGGGGCTAATGAAAAGAGACGTGGTACAATGGTAAATATCAGGACTGACCGCAAGTGTTGGAAATGTAAAGGTGGACGTTTTGTAGCAAAAGGAGGGGAGTGATCGACTTGGCAATCCAGGAGCAGAGGTTCCTGGAACCATCAAGGGAGAAGAGCAGAATGAGAGACCCTACCCATAGAAGTAGTGACACCAGAGATGGAGGAAGAGACAATGATGTGGAGAGATGGAGAGATGGACTGGCTAGGGACTGTAGACCCAGAGAGGGAGAGGGGCTGTGTGCTGATGACTGGGAGAGAAGGCTTGCAGGGCATAACCTTTGGTTGGTTGACGATGCATGAAGGGGATTGTAACCATGGCAATGAAACAATATGCGATAGGATGAATGTAAAGCTAATGTTCTCCCACGTAAACTATCACATAATTCACAATAAAACATTTTTTAAAAAGTTCATGGAAAAATTTGATTTAAAAAAATACTCTTCATTAAACTTACCTAAAGCAAGTCAAACGCCTTCAAACATTATTTTCTAAATATGGATACACAAAAAAGCATATGTCCACTGTTGTTGCTGTTGTCAAGTGCCACTGAGTCGGTTCCGATCCAGAGCGACCCTGTATAAGGTTTCCAAGGAGCAGGTGGTGAGCTTGAACTACTGATCTTGCATAGTTCAAACTGACTTGGAGGTCCAGCACATTAACCCACAGTGCCACGTCAGAACTCCATATATATCCATTTGTTGCTGTTGTTGTTAAGTGCCATCAAGTTGGTTCCGACCCATAGCGACCCTTATAGGGTTTCTGAGGAGCAGCTGGTGAACTTGAGTTGCCAACCTTGCAGTTCAAAGGGCTATGCAATCTGGTGCATTAACCCACAGCGCCACACCAGGACTCCTATATGTCCACTACTTCATAGATGAAAACCACCTGGAAAAGTGGTTTAAGATAAAAAGCTATCTTCTTTTTGACAATTCTTACTTATAATCCAGCTTTCAAGGCTTAGACACAACTCTGTCACAAAACAGTTTTTATCATTGTATTTTCTGAACTGTGGAAGTCTATACCTAGTCTGAATATTTTCAGCACCTCACTAAATGCGAACTCATATCTGAGATGGGGATACAGGCATTTCTGCAGCCATGGAGAGTAGTAAGAAGGGTTCTAGAATACTATTTACAAAAACAGAGTGGTCCCTGCATTCCCAGTCTCAGTTACTGATACCACCAAATACAACTTGAGAGTCTATTTTGATACCTTTCTCTGCATGGTCATAAAATCACCAAGTTGGAAATTTTACTTTCAAAGTGACTGCATAGATTTTATTATTTCCTTACGAGAGGAAATCATATTCGACACATAGCACCGGTTGTAGTAGGTTGTATGGCAGCTCACAGGAGTCCTGATGTGACACTGTGGCTTACAGCACTGGATTTTGTAACACAAGGTCGGTGCTTCAAACTCACCAGTCACTCCTTGGAAACCCTATATACAGGGTCGCTATGAGTCGGAACAGACTTGACAGTACTTAACAACAACGGAAGCTCAACAGGTGAATAAGATTCAAGGAGACCAGCCACACTGTGGGAGGAAGATAAGACTTTCTGCTCCCCACGAAGATTTAAAGCCACAGAAACCTTATACAGGATCACTATGGGTGGGAAATGACTAGATGGCACTAAACAACGACAACCTACTTAGTAAGGAGTGCTGGTGGCCTGGTGAATAAAGTAATGAGCTGCTAACCAAAAGGTCAGCAGTTCAAACTCACCAACCCCTCTACAGGAGAAAGATGAGGCAGTCTGCTTCCTTAGACTTAGAGCCTTGGAAACGCTCTGGAGCAGTTCTACTCTGTCCTATAGGGTGACTATGAGGAATCATCTCAACGGTGCTGGGTTTATACTCAATGAATTTAACAAGAAGCAAACAATTATCATCCAATATACCACATTAAAATCCAAGATTATATTTTTATTAACAGGGAGACATCAAAAAGGGGAAAGCCATTTGAAGTAGGGGTAGGAAGGGGGACAGGAAGTAAATGCTGAAAGGTAACTTTCCATATCCCTGTCATACTGTTATTCAAGAATATATTTAAATATTACTTATGTGCTTTTGATGTTATTTTTATATAAATAAGTGGGAAAAGAAATTTTCATAAGAAAATTCAGAAAAGATTCAAGAGGATTAACTTTTTAAAAACTGAATTTCAGCTGGTGACTTCAGAGAATTTATTCACCTGAAGATGAAGAAAAGAAAGATCGATACAAAAGCATTACATCCATGGCTGCCTATCAGCTTCTGCAGAACCTTTTTGTATTCAGGAAAATTCCCACATTATGAATCTTACCTCCAAAAATAAATCTCCAATCTCAAATTCTCAACATCCTCTGCAACGACTCTGCACAAGATTTGTCTGGAAGTGAGTCAGATGAGACACTGGACCGTGTGGCACTACCTTTTTTTAGCTGGTTAGACTTCCCACAAAGACAACAGCAGTGGAAGCCCCTTAAAAAGGCTGTGGACTCAAGTTCCTCACCCCGAATTTCCTCCACTGTCTGGTAGGGTTGCAGGCAACAGTCCTCTGATGTGATTTAAGGCATGTTAAGGAGCTCTGGTAGCGTAGTGGTTACGAATCGGGCTGCGAACCTTAAGGTCAGTGGTTCGAAACTACCAGCCGCTCCGCGGGAGAAAGATGAGGCTTTCTACTCCCGTAAGGATTTACACCCTCGGAAACCCTGTACAGGGTCGCTATGGGTCGGAACCGACTCGACGGCACTTAACAACAACAACAACAAGGTGATTTAAGGTCAGTTTGAACCGCCAGGTCGGCAATTCAAACTTACCAGCTGCTCTTGGGAAAGGAGGTCATTATGGGTCCCAAACTACTCAATGGCAATTAACAACAACAATAACCTGGAAGCTTAAGCTTTAAGTCGGTTGTTCTAATGCTCCCAGATATTCTGTGAGCTATCAAATATCCTTACATTTCTCATCAGCATAATCATCCCGTGGTACTGTAAGATAAGGAGTGGGCTGCAAAATGCATGGTCAGTGGTTCAAACCCACTAGTCACTTCTCAGAAACCCTATACAGGGTCGCTATGAATTGAAACAGATTTGATCGCACTAACAACAACAAAAATCATATATCCTTAAATTTCTCATGAGAATCATCATCCAATTGGGCTTCTTCTTCTTAAGGATCTTCATTGTTCCTATATAAAAGTCAGGAGAGTGTGGTTCCAAAAGAAGATAGATTACTCTCTATCTGCAACCAACATGAAAGAACTGTTAAGAAAAGCCGTCCAATGTAATTCTTGAAAGGTACAAGAAGCAACATTGTACCAATCGTCAACTGCCCTGTTAGGAAAGAGCCTTGACATGTGCTATCACTCAGAGTATCTACCCAAAGGGATGAACTGCCGCTGTTGTTGGAAGTGCTGTTGAGTCCATTCTGACTCATAGCGACACTGTACAGAGAAGTGACTGATGGGTTTGAACTGCCGACCTTGCAGTGGCCAGTCCTGTGCTTATCCTACAGCACTATGTCGGTAAGTGCCATCAAGTCGATTCCAACTCACAGCGACCCTGTGTAAGGGTTTCCAAGGAGCTGCTGGTGAGCTTGAACCACTGACCTTGCAGTTCAAACAATTTTGCAGTCTGATGCATACACATGACCAAAACCAAACTATCAAAATGGTAATTCTGATAGCAGGGTTGAGAGTAGAGTAAAGCAGAAAGGTTGACAAGAGCTAGACTGATTAAGAGACAATTCTGATAATCAGCAGAACAAGGTAACAGAGTAGGAATATGCCTATGCGGGTCAGTTCTAAATAGAAATAGGGCAATATCCCCAAAAGTCTCTAATTCGTACCTGAGGAAATATTTGTACCAAATCCTGAAAGCCAAGAGGACTTAAAATACTTATTGATGGGGAATGAAGCAAATACTGCTGAATGATGACGCACAGAGATTGTAATAATTGCAATGAAACTATGGTGTAAAGCCACTGTTCTCCTATGTAAACTATCACTCAGTTCACAATAAAAACTTATTTTAAAAAATGTTTATTGATCAAGATCATAGGCCACAGTCTTTGGTATGGTCACACCTCAATGTAAAGAAAACAGAAATCCTCACCACTGGACCAATAAATAACATCCATATAAACAGAGAAAAGATTGAAGTTTTCAGAGACTTTATTTTGCTTGGATCAACCATCAACGCTCATTGGATCAACACTCATAGAAGCAGCAGTCAAGAAATTAAAAGGTGTACTGCATTGGGCAAATGTGTTGTACAAGACCTCTTTAATGTGTTGAAGAACAAAGACCTGAGTGTGAGGACTAAGGTAGTAAACACCTGACCCAAGCCACGGTATTTTCAATAACCTCACATGCATGTGAAAGCTGGACAGTGAATAAGCAAGATAGATTTAACCATCACCAGCAAATGAGAACTAGTGTAGCACTGAATT